GCAGCCATACGTTTCTACAATGCTCTTGAATTAGTTCTTTTATCATTTTGGTTGATGGCAGTGCTAATCTGATGGTTGGCTTTCCGTGGTCGGCTGCTGCTGTGGCAGAACGTCTCACTGCAATGAGCTTGTGTTTCACATCTCTGATAACGCTGCCTTAAAGACTTACAACTGGTACTTCTCTATCAGCCTGATTCCTTCTGTTTACTTGCATGGCCCTCGTGACTGTAGTGCTGTGGATTCATGGATTTTATTCTTGAAATGCCTATAAAAGCCTAAGAATTTAGGCATCCAGATGATTAACCAACTTGTCTATAGTCATATTGTTTCAGTTCAGAATGTTTTTGCATAACAGTTTACAATGTTTTTCCTAATTTTTGACACTGTTTTCTATATAAATCCATACAAAATTAGAAAAAAAAAAACCACTTTAGTGTAAAACTGACAGATCTCCATTATTTTGAGAGTAAGTTTCTTCTGAGCAGACAAAGCCACAGTGACTTTTGTCACTCCATAAGGGAATTGAAATTGTAATTCTCAAATGTATGTTCTGTCCCATCAGCAATTCTATTTCATTAGTCCGATTCTTGTACTGAAAACTACATTTGAGATATGCATTTAAACTTTAAATCCTCTCTTTCCTTATGTACTATGTTTTGAAGGCTCTTTCTTCACCTTCGGGTCTGTGGATATCTCTGAAACTGTATTTGGTTAGCATTCCTGTATTTTTTAAGTCACTGTTGAAAATGCTGAATAGAGCCAGCCGCAGAATAAGTCTTTGATTCCTCTGCCTACTTAGCTCTAGTATATTGCCCGTTTCAAGGATAGGAGGATAGCTTGGCACCATCTTCCTTTGTAAACATGCTCCGTTTTATCCCATTTTCCTGATTTTTACAGAAAGTTACAGAATTCTGTTCATTTTTCAGCTTAATTTCAATCTGTTTTCCTAGATAGTGTCTTTTTACTGGGTTTTTTTTTGAGGGGGTCATTTAATAGCTGCTTCTAGCCTTACTGAAAGCTTGACTTTTTATTGTTTATTTTTTACTTTTTTCACTCCACAACTTTATCGTTAATGTTGATTCTAGTCTGTTTTGGCTAGAGAAGATTATTTCAATTAAAATATGGCAGCCCAATGCACAAAATAAATCGTAACACATTTCCTAGGACAATGTGTGCTTATGACTACAGACCAAGTTCTTTAAAAAGTAAACTGCCTTAGAAACAGTTTTTGTTGATGAACAAGGAAGGGTTGATGTCTGAGAGCAAAAACCTATTTATTCTTAACCTGTAAGAAGTGCCAATGTCTTGAAAGTAATAGAGCTCAAAAGGGGGACATCGCTCCTTTCTTTGGTGGTGGCAGGATGTCCTGCACACTCATGCAGGGTTTGCATGAAGCCGAGAGGAGCTGGATAAAACAGGAAAAGAGTTTGACTTGGAAAGGAGCTTCTAGAGAACCAAAACCCACGAAACCTCTCTCCTCTCTGCAAGGATCCTAGCTCTTCGTTTCCCTGCATATGTAAGATACCTAACGATTGCCCTATGTGAGGAGGAAAAAACTTCATAAAATTAATATATAGGGCAGATGCCAGGAGCCCTCTAGAAAGAATGCCATCTTTTCATGGCTAGTTTCTGTTAGTGGGTACACTAAGATTCGTTTGGCCACTTTTAGTTCCAAAGATGGGGAAGATGTTGGTCTTGGAAACAGGAAAGAGAGAATAAACTTGCTTGGTACACATGAAGGTGGTACACTGGAACTGTAGGTTGTATGACTTGTGTTCTGTATGGAAACTCATAACATTTTTTATTTTATTATGAGCCTGGCACCTTTATGAAAAACAAAACCAAAAAACAACCAACACCTTGGTTTATTTTAATCCCATTCAGAGATTAGATTTAAAAAAAAAAAAAGGCCCATATCCATTCCTCACCCTTCCTTTACTCAAAGGAAAAGGGCAAATACTCAGTTTTCCTTGACAGTGAATTGCAAATATGAGCAAACTCTAATACTGTCAAAGGGAAAATTATAAATGAACGCCTTTCTGTGATATCTTTGCACTGAAGATCTCAGATAATGTTGCAGTTGCCGGTGATGACAGTTCAAAGCTGTTTTTTCCTGAGAAGGCTATGATGTCATTGTGTGACACCAGTAACCCTTGTTTTCAGAAAGTTACTGAGCTACCCGGTGAAACCCGTTCCTGTCTAGCATCCAAAGTGTATGAATATCTTCCCCCACTTGTAAAAGGAAGCAGGTGTTAACACTCTAGTTTTATTACAGCTTTTTAAAGCTGTGCATGTGCTTTTACTTGAGCAAGTAGCTTTGGGTTGGATCAAACCTTCCTTTTATTTTTCTGCCTTTTTTCCTCCCTTTGATTTAATTTTCAGTGATGGATTCCTCTCTTAGTTTTATTAATTACGTTTGAACTTATTTCCTGTTGTCCTGTTGATTCTTTCTGGCAATTGTAATTAGTTTGCACCAAAGAAAGAATGTTATGGATTTCATGTACGTATTATATAGTTTTTAAAAACCTAAAGTTTAGGTAATTCAGTTTGAAATTAAAATTAGAAAAGCGTGACTTTGTGAAAGGAATTCTAATTGTGCTTGTGTGACAGATTGAGTTATTTTACATGCAGTACCAGCTTTTAACTGTATTTCATGGTTGTTTGAATCATTTTTGAATTGTGTTCATAATAATCTTGCAGTATTAAATGAGTTTCTTAATTTAGAAACTGAATCTTACTTTTACTTCTGTTTAAAAAAATGTATAGACTAGGTATATTCCTGGGTTATGATGAAAGTGCTGTGGATTTGGGCATGGGAGGGGAGAGTAAGGGTTGAGAAGATAACAGCAGAGGTCAGTGGATCTAAAGTATTTATTAAATTCTCCAGCTCTATGTATCAATTAAATTCTCCTTAAAAAAAAGAAAACAAAAAAATCCACAACAAACCCACAGCAAAAAATTGTTGGGTTTTGGGGTAATTGTTTCTTAATCGACTTCTAGAGAAGATTCACAGCCTTCTGAAGTTTTCTAGGACTTGATTAAGAAAATTGTCTAACCTGAGAACTTTATTATTTCACCTGTTGATACTTGCTATCTAACAAGAATTGCAATGTTGTTTTTCCCCATAAGATTGTGATACAAATTCAAGTGCAGTTAAGAATTTTTTCTAGCCAGCAGTATAGATAGTTGTAACAGTATATACTCCATAGCAAGCAGTAGTTATGCTCAGGTACACTTAAAAAGTCTCCCGTCACCCCCAAAGCCAAGGGATTGTACAGCAGAGCCTGGAGAATGGATAAAACTATTTGAAAAGTGTCGTTGGCTCAGTTTTCTCACCCATAGGGTTTAACTTGCACTATAAAGCTAAAGTTACAGATTAAGAACTATTGGGGGTCTTCTGACATGAAAATTAATAACACATGGTTTATTTTTTCTGAAGCCTGCACATTCTAAAATCACTGGCTGTAAGGACTGATGCACTCGCAGTGTAGGAATTTGTAATTCTTTTTTTTTTTTATGGGTATGTAACTCAATAATTCAAATTTTGCATTACTTTTTTTTTCTCTTTAAGTATTATCTGTTTTTTTTCTCTTGTTCTCTCTCATTATCCACCAAATCAATAAAAAAAATCTAGAATTTAATTAAGATATCGCAATCATTCATTTTTCCAAACTCTGAGTAATTTAGAGTGGTGATGACTAGATCTGAAATGGTTAATTATAGGAAATGCACAATCCCGTGTCTTCATCAGCACCTTATAGAAATTCAGTGTTCTTCCGTAAAGTCTGTGTCCAAAGGTTTACCATTCATCCATAGATCAGCTGCTGCTATGTGTTTGAGGGGAAATGCGACTTCTGCAAAGTCTTGATTCTTTTAGCATCAACAGATGCACTGTCTTAGAGACACAGTCTTAGGGAAGGTTAAGGTTGTGTTCACTTTGAGCTTTAATGAGAATGGTCCAGTTAATGTTTGCAGATCGAGCTATATATCTACCAGATGCTGTGGTTTTATTTCTGAAATGTGCTTTATAGCACCTTCTGAAGTAAAGAGAAAGTTTTAATTACTTAGGCTGTACATGGAACTCCGTCCTAAGTCAGCAACTTACAATATTGGCACTTCTTATTGTTGCCTTCCTTCCTCTCCTCCCCTTCCCTGGGAAAAATGGGATGACTGACAAGTAATCACCCCATTTTTTGTATTCCTGTTTAAATAGAATAATCTTCTTTAATTAATCTCAGAAATTCATAGAATTCTTGACAACAAAATCTTGACAACAATCAGGTTTTTGTGGGTGTCTCTATATATAAATAACTATTATATTTTATTACTCAAAATCTTGAACACGTTCCAGATCATTAAAACCTTGCCTTTTTGATTGATTATCTGCAGCACATCATTTTGTATTGAGTAAAGAATTGAGTTTTGAAAATGCTTGCACTTTCAGGAAGTTGATTTTTTTTTTTTTCTCTTCTTCCTCTTCTTTATACTTAAACCAGGCTTGCTTATGATTTTGAATGTAAATAGACTTAATCAATTTATATTAAGAGGTATGAGGGCCCTAACCCGCTTGCATTAGTGATGGAGCAGGTACCAATGGAACGGTGGGAAAAGACTCCCTGTTGTAGGCAGTTACAGAGAAGGATAATGTGTAATTTAGAATTAAAGACACCAGAAACAGACCTGTATTACAAGGTGATAATTCTCTCGCATCACATTTTTAAAAAATCTTCTTCTATTTTATGGAAAGGAAGTACTGCGGGTGGTTAATTATTATATCTATTTGTACTTCTAACAAAATAGAAAGTGGGAGATAGTTTATGGAAATTTGGGGTTAATTTTTAAAATCTGATGGTGTTTTTCAAATATATGGTTTTGAAAGAGCGTATTTGACTGTTAACGTATCCTCCTGAAGTATTGCTAATATTTTTCTTGGTTTTCTGCTTTGCATATTTGAACTGTCTTCTTGGGCACATATTTCTGATGAACCTACCTCGATGCAGTTCACACGATTCCTCTGTGATTCTCCTCTGGAGGTATGTATTCATTCTGGATGCAAGTTTTGAAATGAATGTATTCTTTCCTCTTCACTCTCTGTAGACAGCAACCCATTATGGTATAGGTGGTGTAGATGGGTGTCACAATACTTGTATCATCACTGACTGGTAAGGAAGATGGCACTGTGTTTTCAAAGGAGTCTGAGGACTCTTTTGCTGGATAATAAGCTACCACTGAATTTCATATCACTGCATTAAGAAACAGTAGCAGAAAGTGCTGTGTCTTTTCTGTTCTTGATTTATTTCTATGAAAGAAAAAAAAAGTATTACTAAATAACTTACTGAACCGGTATATGACTACAATCAGTTAAAAGTTTAGGAGAGGTGCTGTTGCTTCATTTCAAGTAAGCAAACTGCTGCAGATTTCTTGCACTTTTTTGTTAGTCTTAAAGAGTTAAGTACCGCGTGACTGTAATGAAATTGTCAGGTTATAGTAATTACGCTAGTAATTTGATATGTTGCAGTTTGAATGAATCCATGTGTGGAGAGTTTGTTGCTTTTCTCTGCTGAGTCCACTGGCCTTTACATTCCTGAAAGCTGAAGAGTAATAGAGCTCATTAGACTTTATAGGAAAAGGGCTTTTATCACCTCGTCAACTCAGGCAGCAGACTGCCATTATATTCTTAATTTTGTGTGGCTACGTAGATGTTGATGCACACTTCCCTGCCAGGTTTATACCAGTATTGTTTCTTACAGACACTTTTTATTGACATTTCGAAGCTTGAATTAAATTTTGTGTGGCACCACTACAGATGTCTTCAATTAGATGAAGTTAAATAAAAGGGGTTGTATATCAGAGGCCAAGGGATTCTTGAAATTCTTTATTCTGAAACAGTTGCCACAAGCAAATCTAGTAGTATGTAGTCTGTTTACTCTTTTGAACAAAAAAAATTTAAAATCAAATTTAAACCTTACATGATTTCAATTTGTAATTTTTTGAATTTTTAGTATTGTTATTAGCTGCAAATAGTATGAACACCCTGTCTTTTTTTATTTCCTCATTTTATTACTCTGTTTAGTTTCAGTTTTGGCTATGGGCTCTGGCACAAAAAATGAAGAGTTTAAAAAATGATACAGTCTGTAGTAGCAGAAAACTAGGCAATCTTCTAGCAGTAAACAGGATAATGTAGAGAGAACTGTTTGGGGTTTTTTTATTCATCCTTTCGTCTTAAAAGCTACATTTAAACATTTGCCACTTTACCACTTCACATATGCAAATACTACCTTCTTTGGAGAGGTAAGGTTGTAATGGTTCGGTATAGGAGAACTGCACGGAGGGAGTCTTAACCAAAAACCAGTGTGGCCTGGTACCATGTTGCTGCTAAAGTGAGTGTGTTTATGGAAGAAGGGCACGGGGAAAATCTTAACTGCTCAGGCTGGATTCCTGGGTTTTGGTGCTCAGTGAACTGGTGGGGTGTTCTGGGCCAGTGGTTGTGTCGGCATCATTAATAGTCATCTCTGTGTTTGTCCTTCCTGAGTTGTTCCATGTCGTCTTGGTACAACAGTTGGAACGAGCCTCAGTACTCAGATGCGCCATGGAATTATGCAGTCGAATGATGATTTTTTGGGGGTTTTTGTTTTGTTTTCAAGTCCTTCTCTAATTATTCTTTAGTCTTTTTCCATTTTGACTGATGCTAAGCATTACATCAATGATTTCATAAAACTGCTCTCAAAAGCATCTTTTTGAGTGAATTGCTAATTTATACCCATTGTTTTAGATGTGTATATAGCAATATTTTTCCCCATGCATTTATTTTCCATGCATTTATGAACATTTGATATTTCCTCTGCCTTTTTTAATCACTCGGTGTTATGGGATCTTTCTGTAGTTGTTTACACTCAGTTCTTGTTTAGCCATCCTGAATACTTTTAAATTATCAGCTCAGTTTGCTGCAACATTGTTCAGTCCTTGGTGATCCACATACCAGTATGGAGAACAGAACAGATCCAGCACGATGGAAAGTGAGCTGCTTTCCATTATGTAACTGATGATTTGTTCTCACTTTGTTTGCTTTTATCCATATTGAGATGTTTCTGAATCCTAAAGAACTGAGAGGCATTTGTGAATCTAGATCTTTGCTCTTTGAAAAGCACGTCAGCTTCTGCTCCACGTTATTTTGTTTATTGATGTGTGTTAATTTTTAGGAGATGTAATGACAAATGATACGGTTACAGGTCTGGAATTCCCAGGATCACCTTCTGTAGAATGTCATATTTCAGTCACATTCGATGCACTGCTCAGCCCTAAATCAAAACTCAGTTCATTTGGAGATCTTAGCAAATTGTTGTTTTCTTTTTTTTTTTTCCTTACAGTGGTGTAGACATTGCAATGATGTCTACGTGGTGATACTCCAATAGCAAGAGACTTTAAATCCCTTGTACCTTCACAGCTTCACAAATCTTTTTAGCATTTTAAGCTTACTGTCACTGTCCTGATTAAATAGTTGACAGTATAGCTCAAATACTATACTTTTCCAATAAGGTACAGAAGTTAGCTCTGTAGACAGTGTCTTAATGTTTTGATGCAGTGAGTTGATTTACTTTGTTTTGATACAGCATCACAGAATTGTTCAGATTGGAAGGGACCTCTTGAGATCACCTAGTCCAACCTCCCTGCTCGAGCAGGATCGGCTAGAGCAGGTTGTCCAGGACCATGGGTTTTGAATATCTCCAAGGATGGAACTCCACAGGCTCTCTGGCCAGCCTGTGCCATTGTTTGATGACCTTCTCAGTTAAAACCTGTTTCCTTCTGTTCAGATTGAATTTCACATGTTTTAATTTGCACGCATTGCCTCTTGTCCTGTCACTGGTAACTACTGAGAAGAATCTGGCTCCCTTACCTTCATTCCCTCCCATCAGGTATTTCTACATACTAATAAAACCTTCCCCCCGAGGCTGAAGAGTTCCAGCTTTCTCAAGCTCCCCTTATATCTCAGATGCTCAAGCCCCTTAATTGTCTTTATGGCCCTTATGGACTTGCCCCCATACGTCCTTATTTTTCTTGTACTGGGGAGCCCAGCACTGGACCCAGCACTGCTGATGCAGCCTTACCAGTGCTGAGCAGAGAGGAAAGCTCACCCCCCTCGATGCGCTGGCAGTGCTCTGCCTGGTACAGCCCAGGATGCTGTTGGCCTTTTTTGCTGCGAGGGTGCATTGCTGGCTTTTTTTAATGAAAACATGCAGTGCTACCTCTCTGCTGACACAGCCTGTATTTGTAGGCTGCTTTCACAGCATCTCCACTAATCCCTAGTGAAAGGAGGATGTAGTAGTGAAAAGGAAATATGTTGCTAACCAAGAGATAGAAATCTACCATATGGTAGGTTGTGTGTGTGTGTGCCTTTGGGAAAGGAACTGCTGGAATTAATCACTTCTCTTCTTCGGCATATAATTTCCACTGGAGTGTAGCAGTCAAGGGTTTCCTGGCCTTTTTTTTTTTCTTGGTGTAAGGGATAGCACGGATTTCATATCTTCCTCCTTCCCCCATCCACAGCAGAGGGTAAAATGAAAAAGTTCAGAATAGGAAATTTCATGAAACCTTCCAGAGAAAAAATAATCATGCAGTTAGTATGGTCAGGACCCATTTTTGGTAGGTGAGCGTGCAGTGCCTCTGGCAGTTGCACACTGGTCTGGCATGCGGGTTAACAAGTGCAATTTCCATAATAATAGTAATAATAAAGTAGTAAAACATCTCTTAAAAGTAAAGAGAAAGACCAATGTGCTTTGAAGAAAATTGAGTGATCTCACCATCATTGAAGCTCAATTATAAGCAGTTACTACATTGAGGTGTACTTATTGGGGCAATATGTAATACTAGTTGCTATTAAATATTTAAATTTTAATAATGCGTTATAAAATATGAGCAAATGTGTTCACGGAATCATTAGCTAGCAGAATATGAAGACAGGTAGAATTAACGTGTGATGGAATATATTGTATTTTTCTCTGCATTATAGTCTAAACACTGGAGAGAAAATTACTTGTTTAATTTTTGTCCTGGATTTAGTTGTTCTTTTTTTGATTGCTTCAATATCATCAGATTATAATAATTCATTGGATTGAAGTTTGAGTATAAATTGTTAATTTTAAATAAGTTGGTCCCTCTGGATTGATTCCAGGGCTAATATGTATTATTTCGGGTAGATAAGGTAAGCTCTTTCTGGTGGGGCTTGCTCACCTGATGTCACTGGTATATTTTACATCACCTTTGACAAACAGTCCCAGGTGGACATGGGAATAGCGTGAAATGGTATAACCTGCTTCAGCAAAATGTTTAATATTCTAGACCTGCTTCATGTCAAATTGCCTGGATGGTACATGAGAAATTAGGTTAAAGGAGCCAAGCATTCATTGAGAAATTGGAGAAAATATAATACCTACAAGCATTACAAAGGATTACATTGTATGAAAACTCTTCAAGGAGGAGGAAAACATTACTTTTTAAAAAAATGTTATTTACTTAATGTAATAGAAATCCCTGAACATTTTGCCTGAAATGAGTGCTGTGCTTATTATGTGTGTTGCAGAACATAGCCTCTTTTATGCTCATGACATCTCCTTGTAACTGCAGTAGTGAAATAACAGTGCTTTAGACTTTACTAGAAGTTCTTAACTGATGCTAATACTTCAGTTTGCAGGGGTTTGGTGGCAATGCCATTTGGAGGTTTGGGGTCACACACAGACACAGCATTTTTTTAACTTCAGAAGACTTTGCTTTGAGTGAAAATCTTTTCCATGTTGGCTTAGACTATCTTTTTTAACATTCATTAAATCCTGTATGATGAGTTTTTGACAAAGAAAGAAAATCTGTTTTAACTGAAACTTATTTAAGCAAGTCTGTGGTATATTAACAATCACATTTCCCCTTGACTTGCAGGAGATGTTTCATTTTTTCTGTCACTTGGCTGCACCCTGGTAGCTGAGAGGAGAACTTAACCTATGCTGAGAAACCCTTTGAGAAAATCTTACTTGACTGTGTCCCAGCTTAAAAGTTTTACTACTGACCATGTGATTTCATTTGGCTCTACTGAAAAGTTGAGGATATTGTATGAAACCATAACTGTTGAATAAGTAGGCTTTACCTGAATGAGAAGAAACCCAGTTTAATATGCTAGTATCTGAGTCTAATATCCTTGTATACTGCAGATTCAGCTCTCAAATGTTTGATCGTTTCACTTTTACAGTATCTGTAGCTCCATATCTAGTTTTATGCTCTACAAGCATACAGAAATGCAAACATTTTATTATACGGCCTTTACTTTGGGACTTACTGACTGGGTAAGTCAGTTGAAATGATTTTTGTTCACGTGATTGATTTCTTTTGACACATGTGGTACCAATTAGAATAACTTCTACTGCCCATCATCTCTTCAGTATGTGCTACTGTATCAAAATACTTGGTTAAACCCACCTTCTGTTGTTGTAATGCAAAACAGTTGGTAATAATAGGCAATACTGTCAGATTTATTAAGTGAAAAGCAGCTTTCTGAAGATCTGGCAATGCAGTGAAAAACATGACTAGATGGATAATTAGTTGAGCACAGCAGAATTCAGGATTAAAGTAAACTTGACGTGGAAGAAAATGGCACGACAAAGTTGGTTGTGTAATACAGTTTAAGTTAGGAGATAATTTGCTGCTTAATTTGAAGCATCAGTTTCTGGCTCTAGGTGCTTTACCCTGTCCGGAGGCATACTTCACTGCACATCCAAAACTGCACTGCCCAAGAATAGCAAGTTCCTTAGTGTTTTTGCAGAAGATACTCTGATGTGGGCTGACAAAGAAGCAGCTCCACAGTTTCTGTTGCAACAGAGAGTTTCAAGCTCTTAGATAAAAGTTGTTTCGTTGATCATAAAGAGTAAGCCTCAAGTAAAGAGTAAGGTGTTTGGTACTTTTTATTAGTGCTGTTCTCAAGCAACTTTAATAGCCACTCTGAGAAGCTGAATTTCTGTGACCAAAGTGCTTCCAGTACTTGGGGGCATGGGGGAGAGAAACAGTAGGGTCATTGCCGTGACACAAAGTGTTGGAGGAACTAAGCAGTTGAGGCAGCTTTGGGAAGCGCCACATAGTATAATGTAATGTCTGCATTTCACCTTTCTGCCTCTGGGCTTCGTCTCCTGTTGAAGAGTAAGTAGGTCAAATTAAAGGCCAAACTGTGTGTGTGTGGGGGGGGAAAAGTATATATACAGAATTTGTTTGCATGTAATAATGTATTAATAACTTGATGAATCGCATTGTTGTTTTATCATTTCAGTACTATAAATGCTAGATGGCAGAGGCTGTTTGCAGATTCGTGTTTGGCATGGGTGACATGTAGAGGTTACTGATCATGAGTACAATGAAGGTTAGAAATGATACAGTGAACCTACGTTGTTTTCCCTACTTCTCAAATTCCGTTCTTCCTTTTTCTAAACATGGATAGCAGGAGTAATTTCTCACAGTATTTACTTTTGTCTTAAAATGCTTTCTAAAATTGTTTTTATGCTGAAAGTCTACCTGTCTGACAATTACATCCTTCTCTTGTTTTTGCTTAGGCAGAGAATGCACCAAATGGACCAGAATGTGGCTATGGTTCTTTCCACCAGCAGTATTGGCTGGATGGGAAGATAATTGCTGTCGGTGTAATTGATATCCTGCCCTACTGCGTGTCCTCCGTCTATCTGTACTATGATCCAGACTATTCTTTCTTATCTTTGGGAGTCTACTCTGCATTACGGTAAGAGGACATTTTTGTTATCTGGGTAGATGTAATAGATTTGATACTTGTTCCTAAACTTGAACTTTTATTTCCAGTCTAAACATATAGTGGTAACGCTATCTCTAGCAAAGTATTTCTGGTTGGTTGTTTTTTCTTTTTTAATTCTCTACAGTTGGTTGCATTCTAAATAAATTTTTAATTGTCATCCTTGAATAGGGTTGTATCTTTCTAGTTAGCTAAATACTTTTAAAGATTAAAAAAACACTCAGAAATGAAATACCTAGTTTGTACTGCCCCTGAAAATAATTTAGTATTGCTTGGTTTCAGCAGTAAAAGCCCCTTTTTTGTTTGAATAGAAGTAATTTTTCCTTTGACCTTTTTCTTAGCCCAGTCACCAAATGAGATTAATCACTTTTATAGTTTTATGCACATTGAGATCATAAATAGTGGAGTACCTAAAAACTGTTGTCTTCTGAATTAGTAGTCTCCTGCTGTACTAGCACTAAGTATATTTTTCAGGTATGTTAATCTCATTATATTTGTCTTTAGAAAGTCTGATGGAGAGAGTAATCCTATGAATTTTAAAGCCTTAAATTAACTATCAACCCAGTCTTGCAAAACAGTAGGAATAGTGAGTAGTGCTTTTCACTGTGAATAAGACTTGTATGCTAAATTGCAAGTTACTGTTTTTCTTCCATAAGCAATTTTATGATTCCATTATTATTGTAAGGAAAAAACCCTTAAACGAGTGGAAATACTTGTGCATATAAATTTTTTTTCTTAGCTTTTTTGCTTCTCTGTTTACATGAAGTTAGCTGGTCATAGACATGTGGTGTTCCCAGGGCGGTTCCCATGAAGCAACTGGGTTTGAACCTCGTGCCAGACATGTCTATTTTCAAGTTTTTCTAGGTCTGAGAAGTTCTAGCAGAAGTCTTTACCTGTTGAGATTTGCACTACACT